GGAGCACCCAGAGGAAACCCATGTGAGCAGGGGACAAAGAAACAAACTCCACACAGACAGCACCCCAGGTCCAGAACTGAACCCCAGTGCTGTAAGGCAACAATGCTAATAACTGTAATCTTATCACTGTCAGAAGGCAGAGGATACAAAGGCATCTAAAGGTGGACTTCCCTTCAGAGAGTAGTGAAAGCCTTTAGGCAGGGAGTCCAAATAAAACTTGTCTTTGCAAATCAATGAGGTTCCTTATACCGATCAATATAGACCTATGCAGTGTATAGGTAAGAAGAAAATAAGAAAACTAAACATAATTCAGTGACTATATATAACATTTATTTCAGGAAACAGAATATACCGTAGAAAATCGGTAAGTACACCAAAGAATGAAATCAATCTCATGAAATAAGAAAACTGGGATAGAACTCTACAGAAACAGCATAAGTATAATGCTGCATGAGACAAAAAGACTCAAAAATAATTACACGGAAGCATACGGATCTGCACATAAATATTCATGATCTACACAAGCACCATATTATTGATATTGTAAATGTTACAGAACTTCTACAGATGCTAGGGCAGGGGTTATCAACCTATGGAACATGTGCCTTTATTGGCAGACAAAGGGATTTTTAATGGCACTTGCAATATAAGTCTCCTAAGAAACAAAGAAATTAAGTAAAAAAAACAATCAAAACTACACTTGGCTATTCTGTAATTCTCAACAGCATGGCATCCAATAAAAGCTCTTTGGCTTTCTTTCTATTGGCTTTTGCTTAATTAACTGCATTATTTTTAGTGAGGCTAGCTTTTTGTTTTCAAAGAAAAGCTCCCAATACCTGCCTCTGAAAACATTTTTGTGTAAAGTTCGATATTTTTGTTTGATATTTTAAGCCCTTTTAGAGAGAAATGAATATGGATTTGTTCAACATAAAGGCCATGCTGTTTTTGCTCTATATTGTGAGAGCATCGTTTGTCACACATTATGTGACCAATGACATTTTCAGACAAAATATGACCAACAGTTTAAGGATGAGGCATACAAGTTTGAAGTCTATCGAAGGGCCATAGCAAGGTACGGAAAACAAAGCAGCATCTTTACCAATATCACAAAAATGAAGCCAAAGAAGGAAGTTAAACAATTAGAGAAACATGAAAAGTCATTTACAGATGGGTAATATAAAAAAATAGGCTTTCCTTTGTTTGGATGGTTTGTTTAGTGGTTTGCCCAACAAAGACATGAAAATTTCAAGAATTAAGGACTTACATGCGTCTGCTAGATCAATGGACATACACATAGTTGGAAAGGCCAAACATGTTAACAAACAGCAGACAATGACGTTAAAAGACGTAAAAGTATTTAGTGTTGTGTTTGATGAGTGTGTGGATATAAATGACACGGCGAAGAGCAATATTTTGACTCAGATGGAATTAGCCGAGAATAGCCGTGTTGCCTTACAGCCATGCACAGCAAAACTACAGGGGAAGATACAGCTAAGACATATATTAACTATTTTGAGGAAAGAGGAATTGATATCAAGAAAATATTTTCTGTGATGACTGACAGCGCCCCTGATATGGTAGGAAAATGGCAGGAATATCTTTATGCCAGGACTTGAAATTATGAGTTTAATAATGTAATGACTATAGTGGTGGAAATAGTGAAAAGTCTTGAAAAGATAATTAGCCAAGAGGTGATCTTAAACATTACGGCCCATGAATCAGACACATAAACTGAAAAAAGACTTTGACAAAATATTAAAACATTAAAAAAAGAAAAGAGTTGATGGACTGAGAGCAAAGCTTGGAAAACGAGAACAGGAACACACAATGGCGCAGTAGATATGGGTAGATACCTCTTTCTCCTCACCCATGTGTAAAATAATAAATAATTGTAGATGTAAAACTACTAAACTGCTGTGGATGTAGAAGAGCAGAACTTTTCTAAGGACTGCAGTAACACAGCTCACCCAGTTATTTAAAAGGTCATGCTAATAATATTTGAATACTTCAGCTTTAATGAAGTTACTGGGCAAGCAGCAAAGCAAAGAAGCCAATCTCACACACTGTTCCTCTTGAATCGGAACTCTGGACGCAGTAGGATTTTACATGTGTCGCAAACGCCACCCAGTGGGAGATAAGGAAAAGGACCTCTGGCACAAAGTTCCAAACTGCAGGACAGCGTGCAATGGAACAAAGATATTTATAACTGTGTGCTCAGTGGTAATTAACGAAGAATGTGCCTTCCTTAAAAAATGCATCAGCCAGCCCCGCAGTGTAATTAATCCTGGAACAATTCCATTACCTCGAAGACATGTTCAACTGTTCTGAATCACTGACTTTGCTTGATAAAGCCTTTAACCTAGATTGAATTGGGTTAAAGTAAAATGTCAGCCAACCTACCAAAGACATATTCCTAAATGTCTCTTTGCTACAGGCTAGATACTTGTTACATCTAACCAATGGAAACTGCTATCACGTCCTTCATGTGTAACTGGCACCCTGGCCTCTGTTACTATACTACTAAAATAACATCACAAATTAGCATTTAACAGCATTTCATGCAAAGCAACTGATGTTTATTGTTCATTGCACACTCTTCCTAAATTAGGTGTTTTTTTGCGAGTTTGTAAATATACAGCATATATCCTATTTTTGATTTAAAATGTTTAAAAATAATATTTTTTCCTCCAATTCAGTGTCATGAGAGAGTTGGAGCCTATCACTCCGCACACATGCACTCAACCTAGAAGCCAATTAACCAACTAGAATGTCTTTGGACTGTGGGAGGAAACCGGAGCACCTGGAGGAATCCCACGCAAACCCAGGGAGAACATACCAGCTCCACACCAATAGCACACCACATCCTGTATCGAACCCCCAGGGTCATCTCTACTCACAAGAAATCCACCACACATGGGGCAGTGCTACGAAGATTGTTCATCCTCTTAGAATCCACAGAGAGAATTCTGACTAAGCGCAGACACAATACTACAGAATGTTTTTGTTCTTACTTGTATTAAATGTTCAGAAGACAAAAGATAAACTGAATAAGCACCAGGTTTCTTTTCATTCATTATCTTCAGCAGACATTAAAAGTTAGACAAAACTGACCAACACCTACTGAAAATATACAGATCAGCATCTTACTGAACACCTGAAAGCTGACTACACACTGAAAGGGTTCCTGAGGGGTCAAACCATTCATAGCGCAGTTTGTCCCCTGTAGTACCACAGGTTCGAATTTGGGCTCTGTGATTAGTCAACTGTGGCCGGTCTTTCTCAAGGACAAGTGCTGCTGAATGGGTTTGAATGAACCAGCGGATCCTACCCACAGTGCAAGCCCCAACTGTGCCTTGGTAGGAGTGCAGTTTTGAAGCGTTCGTCCTCCCTGCCTTGCCCAAGCTCAGCCCCTGGCTGCAAGTGTGGGAAAAAGCAGATGGCCTGACCCAGCACACATTCTCTCTCCTACGCATACGAGGGCTTTAACATTTAGATGGGCAATGAAGCGAGCTGACAAAACCAACCCCGGAAGAAAACCTGCCAATTCTAAATCCCTAAAAAAAATCACCAATTTCTCTTTCCACCACTGTGACAGACAACACAGATAAGTTCCTGCGTTTTAATGTGCCCTTTGCTGCTTCTATAAACAAGACAGTGATCAGCACTGATATCCTTCAGATTTAACTTCTTCACTTCTGGCTGTGTCTGTCAAAGTGAATACTAAAATGCTTAATTAAGATGGCAGGTAATTATCACCTGTGGCAATTTAGTGATAAATGATTACACTTCATTAGATTACAGACTCATTGTGAGTGTTTCTGCAGTACACATGACAGGATAGAAAATGTACCCTGATCACTACAAACCTTCACCAGCAAGAATCATAGACATCTCCGTCATGTGTCACACCTACAATACCTAGTTCCAGTTTGCTCATACCAAGCCCTTTAATATCGCACCAACCTTCAAAAGTTATTAAAAAAACTTTTTCCTCCTATTAACTATTTATGTCTTACATATTTATTTAGAACTCTAAATATCATTTGTCAGGTCAACCTGGCATTGTCATTAAAGCCAACAACAAACACAAAATCAATTAATACAAAAATCCATGGCAAATTAGGCTCCTGAGAGTAAACTCAATAAGCAGACATAAAATTTGCATGTGGGACAAATAAAAAACAGTCTCCTCCTGTAAACAAAATGGTTTTGGTTGACTCATCTTGCGTTGTGCTGAATTTCAACACTGAGAACAAGCTGATGTCAGTCTTCATATCAGCTTGACTTCCACACAAACAACTGCAGCTCCTTGTAGTATTTTTTTGGTCCAGAGTTTTAATTTTTATTAAATTAAAAGAAATATTTTACAAATAGTGCATTGAGGTGAAATCTGTACCTGCACTCATGTGCTAGGATTAATGTATAGGTACAGATCATAAAACAATCTGTTACTGCACAGACATTTCTGGAAGAGCAAAAGAAACTGCAATAAGCTGGACACACCACAAAACCAGATCATTGCTGGGCCAAAAAGACTAATACAAAACCAACACAGAAGAAGAAATCGTCCTAAATTGCAGAATCCACAGAGAGACAGCTTCGACAATTTTTTTGGTGTTTCTGCTGCCGAAAGCTATTTCAGCACCTCCAAGTAAAGCAGGATGCGACAGGGAAATAATACAAACTTATTTGGGAGAAAAACGGTTTGCTGGAAAAGAACAGTTCAGTAGAACACCTTGAAGTAGGCAGAGATCCAGTAGGAGTTGCGGAGTTCAGCTGATGCTTACCAATGTGCGGTCACAAAAATGTAGTCAGAAAGTATCCAACAGCAGTCGGTCTCCAAAGGTCCATCACTTATTGTCACCTCCCAGAGCTCCGACTCCTTTTACTGGCCGTACACCTTTTTCCCAGGAAATGTTTTTTTTTTAAGAAATCACCAATGATTTCTCATCCACTAAACACAATTTTCAAAAGTGCTCTAAATAAAACACCTCTCTTACCTTTGTTAAAGAATATGGAGGCCATCTGACCCATCTCAACTCGCTCCACAATCTCAAAGTGATCTGGAGAAACACCACGCCCTACAAAACCATAAAAAACATGCAACACCAGAAATAAACTGTTAACTTATTTACTGGGTACCAAAATGGAGACACACAGCATATCAAAGACATAACTGTAATATGCAAACTTTGAGGCCATTTGTTATAATTATAGCAAATTATTATTTTTATTCTTATAATTTAATACAAAGCAGGGTAGAACTTCAGATCTACTTTATTACATACAGTATGCAGTGATTTAGGGATTTGTAAATGAAGATGATTTAATGAGAAAATTAATTTATAGAAAAGGCCTGCAATTCTGGTTTCCAAACCCATCTACATTTACAGAATTGAAAATATAAAAATATATATTGGCACTAGATCAAGGCCGTTATGTAATGCTGGGTAAAATGACTGAATGGCTATTAAACTTGGGGGCATAATTAACAAGAAATAACAGGTCAACAATCAATAATTCACTTTGCAAATCATTAGAATATCTTTCAGACGCAGGGTGTCAAAATGTATCTCTACAGCTGCAAACACAAATCCCCTCTGAAATGCCATCTGTTGAAAGGGGACTGATTACTCACGGACGGAGAGAATGGGATGAGTTTCCGCGTGATCACGGGCTAGCACCTCATCATCTGAATAATCGGATGTGGAATCGCTGTCGTTGATCTAGGGGGGGAAAGAGCAAACATGGTGCTTTAGACAGGAAATACCTTTGATTCACTGATCCATTTGTTCCTGCAGCAACTTCTCTGTCTGGGATAGAGAAATGGAGAAAGCCTAGGCCACCTTACGCAGTCTCTGCACAGACTTCAGCCAGACTCTGAACCTTTTGCTCATCCTTCCCAAGGAAGGCAGCATGCCATGCTGTTGGGTAACTGTTTATTCCTAATTGAGAGTAAAGAGAACAAAAACACTGCTTCAGCACAGAAAACTGTCCCATTTCTAGTTTTGCTAACTGCAAACTCTTCCCTATGACCAAGAGCTCCATAGTACCAACTTGGTTTCCCCTTTGTTTTGGTTTGAGTAAATTTGCCCTGCCCCATGCAACAAGATACATTGATATAGTGTGACTTGATTCAAGGGTCTGCAGCTTGCAAAGCCTGAAATCAAAGTACTATGTAGCTGAAGGAGTGAAGGAATACTCCCCAAAATCATCCTGTGCAGAGGCACTGCTTTCATTCAGTCCTCTGTTACACCCGAAATACTGGGGTCATAGAAAATCACTTGACTGACAACCTCACTTGGAACTTTGGCCATAGCTGAGCTTTATGGGGATAATACAGAATGAAAAATAAACGCAATAGACAGCAACGATATTAAGACCTTCTCCAGATACCCAAAGTTGTATACACCATAAGCTCTTGTACCCAAGCCAGGGCCCTACAGAGGCACAGTCCTGCTGGCTTTTGTAGGCAGCCGGATGTGATTGATCTAATTAAATCATTCAAAGCCTGGGTGGAATGTAAACCAGAAGCCACTGTACCTATATAGGACTGGAGTTACAGACCCCTTACCTACAGTATGTCAAGACAAAATGTTAGACATTCCATGCTGCTTACTTCATAGATGTGGAATGCACATAACAATAAATCATATAAAGTATTTAGATTTTCTTTTTTGCCATGTCTTTACACTAGCCCACACTTTGCAACAATTACAATACACTCATCCTTACAGACACCCCTAAAATGGCCCCAGAAAATTATTCCATCAAATGACAGAAACCCACTATTTGGATTTGGTTCAGTGCTGGCCTTCAGTTGGTTAAGCATTTGCCAACCAAGCAATTCCTCTTCTCGAGATTCAACCCAACAAGCCCACTTTCAATTGCCATTTGTCAAACAGCAAAGGTTCAGAATATGTTATGAGCAATGTATTTGCCAACATCTGCAAGTTAAAATAGCACAGCATCTGCAAATTGTCAAGAGCAGCTGTTTTGTGCTCCATAAATGATAATGCCTCCCTTCACTCACATCGGGAGAGTGCCTGTTCTTGTGCCCTATAATAAGTGCTCATCATCTAAAATGACACAGATTTGTTACAATTACAGTGCAATTAAGGTAAACATTAGGGCTGTCATAAACTGATTAACAACAACAAAAAAGAGGGGCTAGCGCTGCTTAAACATAAGTTGCAATTAAAGGAAACTCAGTGAATCATAGTAGAAAAAGAATGATCCATGA